GCGTTTTTGGAGAGAAACGAAGGCGTATTGGTTCATCAGGAGTCTAAAAGTGTGTCTTGCAGTTTTTGCTCAATATTGATCCATGAAAGCTACGGTAACCTTTAAAGCTGCTATGCTTTTCAGCAAATTGACTTTCACGAGTCCATCGTCACTTAGGACTGTTATGCTTCAACTTGAGCCATTTTGACAGCTGTATTATTTACTCATTTTTTGTTTTTATGAGTTCTGGTTGTTGTTGATCATGACAGAATAACGGCTTTTGACTTGCCAAAGTTGAATAGCACTGTTATCTTTCACTCTTTTCTCCCAACCGTGCATAAGGACTACACGTTTCGAAAGCCCTAAGCGGTGAGGAAACGTGCGAAATTTTTTGTTGTGAACTAATTGTAAAGGTTTGTGGTGACAAATTACCGTTAGGGATGCCATTATTATGTTGACTCGGGTTTGATGGAACTATAGGAGGCTAACAATTTTTGTTTTTTAAGTCTTAGCCTCTCTATTTGTAAGTTCAAATTTTTATTTCCCTCCTTTGATTTTTTCCCGATCCCCCGTTGCTGGCGATCCATTAGAGTCGTGAACTTATATTTGAAGTCAATTGATATAACGCTGCAGCTTCCAACTTTTAGATGTAAATGGCCCCCTAGGGAACTCTCTTTTGTAGTCTCTTTTAAGTCCCTGTTTTGATTTGACAGTCCTAGGTGTATTATCGTGACTAAGTTATCTTTTAGTAGAACTGACGTACTTCACAAGATGCTAAAGGAAGCTGATAACTCACCATACATTATCTGATCAGGCTTGTTCTGATCAAACTTCACCGTTTCCTAAATGTGTTTCAGCTGCGTACTTTCGCCGAGCTGAGTGTAACAAAGGCAACCAAGCAGCGTTCAGCACTTTAACTTTGAAACGAGTCCTTCCTCCTTTCACTTTTTTGCAACCTGATGCCGTCAAAGTCCGCCCGCTTATCCCCCATAATATACAACTGATGATTACAGCTAGTGGTTAGACTGTAAACCTCACCCGAACTTGAAACCTTTACACTAATTTCTTAAAGAAGGCTACGTAACCTTCCACCAAAGGGTCAGGTACATTAGACCCTAAGCTGTATATTCATTACGCATAGAAAAATATTCATTTCCCCCACTGCTTACGCGAGTTGATCTCGGTATTAAAATCGTAAGTCCCAGAAATGTGATATATTATTTTTATTATTATTACTACTACTGCTATTACTATTATTATCGTTACCATTGTCGTCACTAATAAATAATATCACTAGTTAACCTGGAACATTTCCTTGTTATTGTTCATTTATGTTGATTTAAGTATTATTCATATGTGCCAATTGCCTATGTAATTGTAAAATTATTAAAGATTTCGCAGTGCATTCGAAGTAGGATTTCTAACCAAACATTTTACGCTAACAATGGATACAAATGGTAGCATTGATGGAAGTGGGTGTTTCTGGTATATGATGGGGACAGGCCTACCGGAAACTATTTCGGGCCAGTGAAAACTCTAGACACTCACAAGATGGACTTTCAAAGCTAACACGACCGACGTTATCAAAAAAGTAATTGGGAAGCCCTATGCAAACTGTTACTCAGGTACTGTATAGTTCTGAAAAGCGACTGAGATTCACCAATCCAGTTCTTGCAATCCTCATAGACCGTTCCATGCATCACGTAGCCAGTCCGCTTTATCCAGTTTGAAGCACCCATTTATGAACAAGGAATAAAAACAGACAAGAACTGTTAGAATGAGACATCCATTCTCTATCTCGCACGTACACTCAAAAACTGTGCAGCTCTGATCGTCACCTGACCAAAACAAAAATTAAAGGTTTCATGGATCCACAGAAGTGCTGATACTAAATGAACTGCAGACAAAAAATTTAATCAAATCAGTAACCAGGTCCTTGTAAGAGGGTTAATATGAAAGAAGAACAAAAGCTACAAGCATATCAATAATAACAAAACAAAAATAAAAATATCTTATGCTACACCTTTATTCATAACGTACATTTTCTTCTTCGTTTTCATATATCTCCTCAAAGCGTTGGCCCTGTATATGCTGCGCTTGACCAGGAGACTGTATCAAAAATCAAAAATTAAATTAAGTCTTTAGAAGCTAAGCAAGCTAACGTATTGCCTCTAATAAAAAGAGTAACAGCAATACCTGTATTGTATACGCAACAGGAGGTTGGCGAGGAACGCTGTAAGACCTCTGCTGGCCAGAACCATTTTGTTGCACCACATACTGTCGCGTTCCTGCTGGAGCAGTCCGATAAGTAGACACTGCTGACACAAAATGCTGAAAACCATATAAGCAACTCTACTCAAATGTCAGCCCTGAAAAACCTTGAACCTCCTAATAAAAACCTATTAAAAGATCTCAGAGCAGCAACTTCCAACATAACTTACAGATGGGGTCACTGTAGGCACCGTATGCCGTGGTAGAACGGCATAACGAGTCCCCTGTGCCACTCGAGATCCAGTTCCATAACTTACTGCAGTACCCACATAGGAACGAGAAGTTCCACTTCCGTAATTTGTCGGTGATCCACCAATACGCACTATAGAATTACCTCCACTGTAACTAGTAGGCATCCTAAATTCAATTAAAAATAGTGAAAAAGATATATTGCCTCAATTATTCAGTTTTCTAGGAAGGAAAACATACGATTTTCTTTCCAAACAGGGGGCTTGATTAGCGACGGGCTCCGAAATATTTCCACAAAGAGTCCCTACATAAGTGAATGAGTTAAAACATGCAAAGAATACAGAATTGTAGAATTACTGATCAGTAAATTAATTAAAATTAATTTGACCTAACTACAGAAGCCCTCTTGCTTTGAAGGCATTTAAAGGGCAATACCAGTTATTACATTGCACCAAGAAATTTCGTTATAAAAGTGCCTCAGTCTAAAAAAAAAAGCAGTGAACCTTCTAGTATTTGATCAACATATTCACGCAATGCAGGAGGCAAAAAACTTTTGACCCGTGCACGTTTTTCCATAGGCACATTTGCAACTTCAAGACCGTGAGCTAAGCCCAACCGCTTTAGCACTTCAATATCGTCATGGATCTCGAAAGGCTGGTCGAAATTGAAAAGAAATTCGCTTCTGAAATTGTAAAACATCAAGGTTTCATAAAATAACCGGTTAGTCGTCATCAACTCTCATAAATAACCGTCAATGAAATTATCACTAGTTTTCAAGAGAAGAAATATCAGCACAAAAACAACCATCCGCTGTATTCTGCTCATTAAGACTTCGATGCAAAGTGATCGGTTACGTCTATGGAACAAAATCTTACACCAAAATCGTAACCATAATAATCCTCGAAACAAACAAAGTGAATCTAAAGAACCGCAACTAGGAAAAAAAGAAATTTCTGCCCCAAATAAAAGAGTAGAGAAATGTAGAAGTGTCACACAAAGAAATTTAACAAACGGGCGACACCGTCAAAATCTTACAAAAAATGAGAAGAGTTATCGTAACTACTTCTACGAACTTGAAAGAAGTAAAACATAGAATATCTTAATAAAATGTGCAGGATATTTTTTTAAACAACTAATTCTACCAAGTCATACAGAAGAAAGAACAAGCAACCGAAAAAATGGTAAGGCGCAACCATAATCCATAACCCGAAACGTTTAATACTCTTTTTGAGATGGGAAAAAAAATATAAGAAAAGCAGAGATAATTTCTCTTGTAATAATGACGGTAGGCTACCTGCCGTAAAAAGACTACAAACAGAAAAGCATACTTATCGTGCGATATCGCACAATCAATCATAGTTTTCTTGTCAGTATTAACTACTATATATGGGAGATAAAGAACAGAATTCTCAGCAGGTCGTCCTTCTTCCCTCTCTTTCTCACGATTTCTCTCCACAAGAGTTTTATATGCCACGAGCTGAAGGTATATGTCAATGAAAAAGGTAATAATTTGTCAAAAGGCCATTTCCCAGTCATATGAAAGCAAAAGCCATTGGAATTAGCCTTCCCGAACATGGAGAACCACATACCTGAATAATAAGCTCTTGTAACTGTTCTGCTTTGTGTCTTATACGAGCCTGCCGTTTGGCTTTTTCTTCTTCAAGTCTCCTACACTCTTGAAGAGATGAGGTAGGCAAACCCACCCACCTTATTTCTTTCTTTTCTTTTTCGATAATATTCATTGCCATTAGTACATTAAGCGCATCATAAACCCGCCTTCGGATGTTTTTCATATCATACTGCTGTTTCTCCTAAAAAAAACACCATAATAAATTAATAGAAACGGTAAAAATGAGCGCAGAAAGTGTTTGTTGGATGCAGTTACTAAACAAAAAACAATTAAATGAAATTACTTACAGAATCTCCAGGAGGATGGCTCAAAGAATCAAAGTACTCTGTAACAAGTTCGTCTGCCACCTAAAATTATTGATTAGGTAAATATGCCATTTTGAGGTAT